CCCCCACACGTGCCCACGTTCGATGAATGGGTGGCACTAGGCGGCTACACTCCGGTTAGTACATGTGCCTAACTACTGACAAACTAGTTATTGTTCATTCAACACTATCATATCATATTTACCCTTAGAATCTCTTCTCAAACATGTAGGGGACCGGTGGCTTGACTCCTGCTTCGTCGACCCCAGTCACTCCGATCTGGCAAAGTGGTCCTGGTCTTGGCCGTGGCGGTCTTGGCGGTGCTGGTTTTGGTGGTGCTGGTCTTGGCGGTGGCGGTCTCGGCGGTGGTGGTTTTTGCGGTGGTGGTTTTGGCGCCGGTGGTCTTGCCTGAGGTCGAAGATGATATCCGTGCATGTGGTTGTCGTGCCATACTTATCATGTTCCTACTTAGTTTCTTTATATGACGATGATGATGTTCCATGTCTTGCAATACTTATGTTCTTGAAGTTGCAACGATGATGATCTTTAGATGATAAACCTGAGTATACTTAGATGATGATGATGAGATTGAGTATCTTTAGATGATGATCTGTCATATTTCTGTGTATATATGCATAATCTCATATTTTGTATCTTTTAAATGTTGTCAAATTGAAGAAAAAGAGAAAACATGGAATATAAAAAAAACAGAACAGAACTATGCCGACGGCTTAGCGGTCGGCACAGCTACACCCAGGTGTAACCAGCTGCTGACACGTGGCAGGCTATGCCGACGGCTAAGCCGTCAGCATAGCCTTGCACCCATGGACACCCAGCGATCGACACACGTCTGTATAAGCCGACGGCCCCGTTGGCATAGATTTTGTCCAGGGGCGAACCATGGGCCGCCATGTGGCACAGGTAAGCCGACGGCCAGGCCGTCGGCTTACATGCGCCATGCGGCGGCCCGTGGTTCGGGTGGTGTAGTGACGGCGCCGTCAACGGCCGTCCCATGCAAAACTACGCCGATGGCCGTACGAAGGCCGTCGGCCTTGGTCCCTATGCCGACGGCATATATATGCCGACGGTCTGACAAGAGTACGCTGACGTAATCTACGCCGACGGGCCTACACCGACGGTAGCCGTCGGCTTAGATCTACGCTGACGGGAAAGAGCCTATGCCGTGGATCCGATAGTGTTCATCGGATCGACCGGCTGGCTGTAGCCATCAAGTCGATCAGGCTTCATCCTGACTGGTTGTATTTCAACTAGAAAAATTCACAGGTGATGGTGCATTCTCTGGTGATGTTACATTCAGCAACCCCCAGCCTCATAGGCATCATCTGAGTGTAGTAAGATTTAAGTGGAAGGAAAAGATCACATATTGATCTTGTATTTACACAGAGGCTTGACACTATGTTGTGAGCTACTCCCTCCGTCCCAAAATAAGTGTCTCAACTGTGTACTAGCTCTAGTACAAATTTGTACTAAAATCAAGACATTTATTTTGTGACGGAGGAAGTATTAGTTTCAAACAGTTAATCACGGAACCATGAGCGTCATAGGGTGGCATCATAGTGTTATGTATTCTGTGTAAATCACCGGAAATTCGTTGGTGCTTCCGGGAGCGCGCGCTCCTGCACACGAAAAAAAATTTTTAAAGTGTGAAAAAATTTCAAACAAAAATTTAGTGCATACATTTCAACATTATATGTGTGCACGTCAAGTTTCAGAGAAAACCGATATTTTTTGTGGCTTGTGTATAAAAAGACAAAATGATGTCTTGTGAAAAGCACTTTTTAACACCTGATTTTGTCATTTTCACACACGACACATAAGTTGTCGGTTTTTCACGAAACGACTTTGTGAGCATGTACAATATCGAGATGTACGTGCGAAGTTTTTGTTTGAAATTTTTTGATATTTCAAAATACGTTTAAAACACATTTTAAAAACCAGATGCGCGCGCTCCCATGTGCCAAAACACCACTCTCCAAAATCACCGCATATACAAGATTACACACGTACATATTGACCATTCATGACTGATCAAAACAAGCAAGACACGCTAATATGGCTAGTTGTCAAACAGAAGGGGCATATGAAAGGAAATATATGTCTCCATATCATACCTTATTTTTTCAGTAATACAACATAGCAGAAATTAGTGGCACAAGAGTTTACAAGACTTACATTCACTAGTAGAAAAAGGGCCTAATGTGAAGCTCATTAGTCCCGGTTTGTAATTGAACCGGCACTAATGTGACCATTAGTGCCGGTTCCAACGGAGTACCGGTTCGTGGCGAACCTTTAGGACCGATTCGTGCCACGAACCGGTAATAAAGAGGTGGTGGCCTTTAATACGGGTTGGTGGCTCCAACCGGTACTAAAGGGGTGCGCTGCCACCCGCGGTGCATAATGTTTAGTCCCACCTCACTAGTTGAGAGGAGCTCGCACCGGTTTATAAGCCCCGTCACGGCTACCGTGCCGAGCTCCTCTCTAAGCAGGCCTTTGTGGGCCTATTGCAAGTCTTCTTCCCTGTGGGGCCTACTGGGTCGTACAGGCCTGCATCCTGGCCCAACTAGAGGTTGAGTTTTTAGTCGTATGCAGGTCGTGCCGGCCCAGTAGGTGGGCTGTTTTTACTTTATTTCAAAAAAAATTAAAAAAAATCCTTTAGTCCCGGTTGGTGTTACCAACCGGTACTAAAGGTTTCCCCGCCCCGGCCCTGGCCCGTGCCACGTGGGGGCCCTTTAGTGGCGGTTCGTGTTGAACCGGTACTAGGGGGGGACCTTTAGTCTCCATCCTTTAGTGCCAGTTACAGAACCGGCACTAAAGGGCCTTACGAACCGGTGATACAGCCCGGTTCTGCACTAATGATTAACAAAACTAAACATGTCTAAGACCGTTCATCAGATGGCGCTTTCTCTTCACTGCTCTAGCTTGCACCTCTCGAATCTCATAAGTTTGGATGTAGCTATGGTAGGCTGGTATGGGAGACTTCCATGCAAGGATCTTAAAGATCCCTTGAGGCCTAGTGGTTCCAAACCAAACATCTAGAGCCTTTATCTTGGAAACTTCCTCTTCAGAAGAGCTTGTCTGATTAGTGTCTAGAACAAAAACATCTTCAGTACTTCTACCCATTCGTTGAAGATACATAGGTCTATTCTCACTGAGAAGTTCATATAATTGCTCACCAAACTTACAGAGATGATTTTGTATGTACCCTCTTCGGAATGTCAGAACCTTGCACCAGAAATTGGTGTTAAAATTAGCTCTCAGTACACATGCGGTGATGTTTGCTTCAACAAGATTTGCATTCATCAATTCTGCTATCTCCATTGCCAAACACACAAGCGTCGGGTGCATCCTGGGATCCGTGCTTCCAAACGTAATCACCTTAAAGAAATACCAGAATGCCTCATGAGACAGATGCTTCAGTACTAGAGTCTGTGCTGTTCCTAGCTTTGTGATCTTGTCAGACCGGCTTGTGATGATTATTTTGCTACCACTTGTAGTGCTCTGTCGACAAAGAGAATAAAAGATTTTCCACAGATCTTCGTTGAGATCCCCAACTACGTCGACGATGATCAGCAATCTCCCATTTGTTTTCTCATGTCTCGCTGCACATTTATCTCTCAAAGCAGCTATATCTTCAGTTCTGAAATAATCATGCCTGAAAATAATAATCTGGGGGAAACAATCGCTTACTCTTTCATCTTTGCATATATGAGCGACAAGACTGCTTTTTCCGACATTCTTCGGACCAACAATTGGGGGGACATCAAAGCTACTAGTACAAGATTGTGTGCACAGCAGGAAGTTGATAACTACTTCTGTCTCTCTCTGGTGGGCAAACATGCACTTGTCCAGCAAGAGATGCATGTTGTAAGGCTGACGATCTAAGCGAGGATATGTTGTGAGGAACCTCACCATCTCGCTGGCATCAAGAATCATGGATCTCAAACCGTCGAGGGCCTCTTCAAGCGCTTGTGATGTCTTTTTGTTGTTGCTGCTGGAGAGACAGAGCCGTTGTGCATAACGAAATTTGGACACGACCCCAGATTGACTCACAGCCTGATTATTCTGCTCTTCTTGGTATGCTTGGCATCTGAAGGTGTCAATGTTGGAAATACGCCACAGGATCGATCACATAATAACAACGCAAACACATGCGCACAGAAACTTTTAGCCAAGGGCCCTTGTCGTGTCCGTATTTTCTTCTTTATTTCTTTTTCTCCTTTTCCCTCGTTGTTACAAAACTCACCCAACGCTGCATATATATATGCATCAACCTGAACGCCGGACCAGGCTAGATTAGCCGACTCCAAACATCAATCCTAAACCTACTCGTTCATTGACCTGGACTTGTACACGGACATGATATCCTAGCACCACTTGAATAACTATCTGGACTAGGACTCCCATCAATATGCTAACTCTCGTACGACTTGTACTCTCGGTGTTGCACGTACATAACTTTCCTAATCTAATCACCGGCAACACTGATCACACTACTAATCTTAACCAGACACAGCTAGCACACTTCTAGCTAAATACAAACTTGTTTGGATTAACCTAACAGTCAAGCACATCGTAGCCTTGGTACATGGCGTACCTCAGCATGCTAAGCTGCTGGAGCATTCCATAGTTTGTGATGTGCCGCCCCATGGCCTCGTCCATGATGACCTGCCCCCTGAGTAGAATCCTCTCTAAGCCAGCCTCCACGGCCTCCGCCGTTGGCTTGGAGTATTTGTTGATGATGGAACTCACGGATCTTGATATGAGTTCACCACAACGCAGAAATGAAAATCTCCATTTGTGGGGGACTAGGCCTAGGCCGAGGGACTTGTGTCCTCGGGAATGAACACTGAGCTTAGGTTGAATAGTTGGTGTCTCTGCAAACTCTGTTTATGCTCTGCCCCTGCTTCCTGGTCATTGCTGGTCATCAAAGTCGTGCTTCCTGGTCAACATAAAAGGGATCGATTTGGGACTAGGGGTGCGTGTATCCTCATGAATGAACACTGAGCTTGGAAGTTGATCTCTCTGCTGGTTAGCAAAGTCAAGCTTCCTGGTCAATACCAAAACGTTTTACCATTCCATAGACTTGACTGATTCTTGATGAGCCATCACCACACAGATCTGTCTAACTTTCTCTATCAAACGAACCTGACTGAGAACCAACTCTTGGATCTTTGTTGATGGACCATCACCACGTATTTCTTTCTATCAGATAGACTTGACCGAGAACCAACCGTTGGGTCTTTGTTGCTGAAGCATCGCCACATATTTTTCTCTACATCAATCAAACAGACTTAACTGGGAACCAACTCTTGGTTCTTTGCTGCCAACACTTCATTATCTGAATCTAGTAGCGTATTAATCAAGGAGAGACTTGGCATGCACTGACCAAGTCCTACAACAGGTTCAGTCTACAAAAATTTCTTCGAGTCCAAAGGAGCCCTAAATCATTTCGCACTCATTAACTCTGGTTTCATTTGATGCACGGACAGTCTCTAAACTTGATGACATTTAGTTCTCAAAGTTGCTAAAGGGTCCTTAAACGGTTCGAATACAAATATTTCGATCTGGGTGGGATCTGGGTGGGCACCAAATCCCCTCTCTTATTCTTTTCAGTGGAAAAAAAGACCACAAGCTCGGCAATATGTTGTAAACTCATAGGGTGGAGTCGCATGGCGTGAGCACGACACGGCAAGCTTCAGTTCACTATTTGTAAAGTGGTTGGCAACTTCAGAGTTCTCAGCAAGGGCTATGCCTGTAATGCGCTTGACAAAAGATAGGCCGTCAACAAATTCAACCTGTAATGGCAAACAGCACGGGGTTCTGCGACCTATTTGGGGAGATAAAAACTCATTTGCTAACTCTCAATGGTGAACAGCTCCCATGGCAGCATAGGAAATTGTAGGTGAACTGCACATTCACGTGTATAAAGAAGAGGGGCCACTGAATTTTTGTCATGAACGGTTAACAAACTGGTGCGAAACCTACTACTAAATTGTATGACCATCATTTGAACCACCCTGCAGACTGAGCAGGTATTTTTCTTGCGGGGCCAAGGAAAATTAGCATATTAACTTAACTTCGACAAAATTGGGTGAACCATACTAGGAGAAAACGACCACAAAACCATAACTGAAACGTTAAACGTCAACCTGAGACAAATCAACCAACCTTCATCAAAATCAATCTATAAAAGTTTCTCATAAAACAAAACAAAATCAATCTATCAATCACTTGTTGAGTTGACACTGAAACCGGAATCGCCACTGCTAGTCTGCTGCTATTGGCCTTAAAATCCTTACTTCATATGGCCTTATGAACTGATGGCCTGCGCATTTTCCATTTCCATCTTCATATGGGCCGTTGGCCAGCTGGGCGACTGGGCCGCTAACTGGAACGCGTAAAATATATATGAAAGAAAACATATCGATGAACCACTAAAAAAACATATCGATGAAAAAAATCTAGGTTACTACTACAAAACATAACATGCATGTTCTTACCCATGTGGCATCTACAAGCAATTCTTTGCATCACATTAATGAGTCATGGTAATCGATAGCTTTAGTTTTCACAAGTTTCTGTGAACGCTGATCAATTCAAAGACTGCGCTGGCGGATGCGTTCAAGGGGAGGTTTATGCAGGAAGCACAACAATTGCAACCTCTGAAAAGAAGAACATGTTCTCCATCGGTGGAGAAGATGCAAATCTTTGTCAAGATCTTCGCAGGCGAGGCCATCATCCTTGACGTGGCAAGCTCCGACACGGTCGCTGCTGTGAGGAGTAAGATGCAGACGAGGGGGGAGCTAACGGAGTCTTGTGTGTTGGTCCGCGGTGGTAAATGCCTGCAGGATCCGTGTGGACCATGGCTGATTGTGGCATTCACAGAGAAGCCACCATCCACGCTGAGTTCTACCACCACGGTAGCTAAGGATCATCAGGTTCACTTGTCAATTATAGCTAGCTGTTGTTCCTGTGGGGAATATGCCAAGAGTAACTTATTGCTAGTTCTTTTCCGAACGATGCTTATCGAAACCAAAACAGAATGTCTAAATACCATCGATGAATCGATGATCATGTCGCCTTGCATCATGACAGAAAATCTAGCCATGCTTCACTGTAGACAAACACACCGTCATATAGTAAATCATTGTGACCTTACCTAGCATGAGAGTAAGATTTAATAATGACATTTAAGACACAATTAACAGGTAATGCTGCACTAAATAGTGATGTGCACACCATATATGCCACCATATGTACAATCAACAGGCAATGCTGCACTAAATAGTGATGTGATACAGATTTTTAGCATCAACCAAAGTCACAGATTTACAGGAGAGCGTAAATGTCAGGGCCTTGCAAAACAAGCCCTTGTGCGAGATTGGGCTTCTATGTTGTTCCACCTCTCTGAGAGAATGCGTTCCTTGTAATTTAATTCCCATTTTCTCCTTACAAATCTTCTTGTAAACTTGTCTGGTGCCCCTTGTGGCTTGGACGTACTGGAAGTGTTCAGGCAGGCATAAGCCCGCCGTAGTCCCATTCGAAAAGAAAATAGAAGAACATGGCACCACCACTGGTCAAACTAAACAGGCAAAACAACTGCCACTAGAACTGAACAACAGAAAAATGGTTGCACGACCAGGCTTCATCTCGATCGACCGGATGTAGCCGTCAAGTTGATCAGGCTTCATCCTGACCGGCTGTAGGCATCAGCTTGTGAAATTCACAGGTGATGGTAGATTCTCTGGTGATGTTATAGTCAGAAACGGTGCATGAGTCTCTAAGATATCTGCTAGCATACAGCAATTTATGACGACATCCGGTCGGCATCGACACCTTATCCTTCATCCTGCTCTTGACGGTGGCAATCGTATCGGATCTCACAACCTGCACGGTTATGGTCTTACCCCAAGGGAACTTGACAAATATCTGCATCTCCTCCAGCCTGCTGATGAACACATCAGTCAGTGCCGTCTCTGAAGTCAGCAAAGCACGCAGCAGTGCAACAGCCTGCAAGACAAGGTCCAGAAACGCTCATGAAAATCACAGCAGAACTGAATTTAGCAATTCTGCGTTCAGTTCACAAGCATACCTCCTGTTTCCCGACAGCAATGCCCATCTCCAGTACGTTAGCCTTGTCTATCCCACACCAATGCTTCATCACAGACATGGCAGAGGTCTGATGCACAAGTAGATCATCGCCGACGACATAGTTCCCACCCTCAACAAGCTCAGGATGCCAGCAATAATGTTTGTTATCATCCTTCGGACACCGGCAGTCAAGCGCCCGGTATGACCTGATGTTGGTAAAAATGTCAAATGGCATAATGCCTGGATCAAGGAACATCATATTGGAGAGAACACCTGCTAAGTGCCCAACATCGTCGAGATCAGTGACGCTTCTGTATAGATTGTCGAAGCACCTGCCAAGATGGCAAGTGCCAGCCCCCATGTTCTTGATCACACAGCTGATAGGGTAAGTCAAGAATCCGAGGAGCATGTCGACAAACTCATGGTTGCATTTGGCATACATGACCTTCTTTTCACGGGTGTGGTAAAAGACCTCGATCGTCCATTCTGGTGAAGAACCTGCAGAATCTTGGTCCAACGGAATAATATTCTGACGGATGATCGGTGTCACAGTGGCATGAGCTGCCTTATGATTATCAGTTCCCTTTGATAGAAATGCATCAGTGAGTACGGTGTCTGAGGAAAGAGAGGCGTTCAACATGGATAAAACCTGAAAAAAATTATAAGTGAGTACCCCAGGTAAACAGGAAAAAAAATGATTCCACTCTACAAACGATGCCGTTAAAAAATCTTACTTGTGTCCCGGAGACGCTCACTTCGACCTCCTCAAAGGCATGACCGATACCATCAGAACCGAAGGCCTGAGGCAGCAATAGCATGGTCCTGGTGGATGCTGGCTTGATTTTCATGTCATCACTGATCACATACCGTTCTTTGCCACCTACAAACGTCTCTTTGCACCCTACTTGCTCGTAGACATGCAACATTCTAGCCATAACTAGGGAACACTTGCAGAGCCTGGAAATCTCAAGGTCATTGTCAGTTGACTTGCAGAGCCTGGCAGTAGAGCAAGAATAAGAATTTAGAGCACATATAGAGTTCTTTTCAGTACACCAAGAGGGTACATATATAAGCATACTGGAACTCATTGGTGCGAGCAGGCGTGAGAAGCATGCCATGGCAGGCCTCAACCTTCAGCAGGCTACTGTTTCTGAGGTGGTCGACGCTATCGCAGAGGTTGGAGAGGCATCCCTGCGAGGATGATGCACCTGTTGCGCAGGACTGGAGGGCAGAGAGCGGCAGAGTGAGGAAGGATAGGAGGACATCGACGAAGTCGGAGCCCGCGTCAGCGAACAACACACGGTTCCCCAGCCTGTCCACGGCGAGCTTGATCTTGATGACGCCCATAGGTCAGCTTATCTGTTCCTAGCCCTTGCCAATCAAGGGTTTAATACAGCTGCAAGTAGTGTTTTTGACGAAGTTCAAGCTGTGATGGGATGCAGCTGCAAGAATCAGATCTGTATCACCATAGATATAATTAACAAGGAGTGGTTGTACTGCACAAAAAAACATCATCAAGATGTGAATGGTGGCAAACTGGCATTGTACAACGATCAAGAAGTAGTGGTCAAAGCGCTTACTAATACTCCCTCTGTTTCAAAATTATTGAAGTTCTACGATTGTCCTACAAGTTAAACTCATCTATTCCGTTGACCAATGTGCAAAATAGCGAAAAGGGGACCAAACCGCAAACAAAGTCGTTGGCACCAGCAGAAGTTTTGAACGCTAATGATTTATTTGGAGATAAAACTCAGTTGCTAAGTCTCGTTTAACTCTGGCAAGACACAGAACTGCATGTTAACTGCACATCGTCGACATGTTAAAAGAACTGAACCCACTGAAACTTTATTAACTATGAACACTTAAATACTCCTAACAAATTGTTTGACCACTATGATTGCGCAAACATAAGCTCCCAGCAGAATGGGCATGTCAATCATAATTTTGGACATGTTACACCAGGTCAAAACAAATCAAGGTGGACCAATCCGTACAACCTCAACCGGAACCCTAAACGTACAGTCTGAGAGACATCAGCCACACTTTATCAAATCCAGTCTCTGGACCGCTCAATAGATCAGGTCCACGAAGTAAACTGAAAGAAACATGGTCAGGGCGGGGATCGGAAGCGAACCATAGCGGAGAGGGCAGCGGGGCTCGGCTTCAGAGAGTGGAGCTGCTCGCCTGCTACCACCGGCCCGCCAGGCGAGCCACGGCGAGGGCGCTGGGCGATCTGCGGCGGCGACGGTGATCGACGGCTGCGCGGTCTGGGTCGGGATTGCGGCGTCCGGCCGCTGCTCTCTGCTCTCTGCTCTGCTCCCGTAATTTCCTTCTCTCCCTCTCCTTTTTTTAATTCGCTTTCGAGGAGGTACTCCGCTTTTTACTCCGGGATGACAGAAACCGGCCCATTTCTTAACGTCACAAGATTTCGTGTTGTCACGTTCCAAACATTTCAAATTTAGGATTTGAAAATGGAGGCATATATGCATATCATGATTCCATTGCATCTTGCCCGCTTTCGAATTTGTTTGACTATCTTTATAAATCATAAATTCAATTTATGATTTGTTCAATGCCGTATTAAATTCCTTGCATAGAAATGAATTTTCAAAATTGCACGTTTCCAATGAGTAATATAAGCCCGGAAGTTGAGCGAGACTTGCACCTCTTTATAACGTGAGCTCTTCTCCCACTTGTATAAGCAAGAGAAGACGAGACCTACACGCGCGCTCTTCCTCCTCGCTTGCCTCGCCTTGCCTCACCACGGGCCGAGTCGAGGACAGAGCTATGCACATTGTCTACGCTTTAATTACTCAGCTGTTTCCGATTCTTTTGGATCGTGGGGCTGTTACTTGGAGGTGGGGTATATAGTCAGGCAGATGTCTGCCCAGGGACAACAGGCCTCCAGAACCCCGCCTCTCCTGATCCTGTATGGAGCGCACTCATGCGACTGCTGTCAGCGACGACTTCGTCAACGACAACTTCTTCCCCGACCTCGGCAACCTCTTCCTCAATGACATGGGCGACAATTCATGTTTCTAGTATGTGCCCTAGATTCGATCTGCTCATCTACTATGCTAGTCTGCATGATTAGTTTAATCTTTGTTATTGCTGGCATGATTTATTTAGTGTTTATTTCGATTAAATCTTATAGTAATTTGCTCATATATTCAACAGAAAGGAATCGATAGTAAACCGTAGCAGAGAGGGTGGCAGAACTCTGATTCATAGAGTCGAACTGATCGCTTGCTAGCCTGCTACAACTCCACTGGCCCACCGGGATAGCCACAACGAGGGAGCTAGGTGATCTTAGGTGACACACCGATTCTCGCGGCCCGGATTGCGGTGTCCAGGCGCTGCTACCCTCTTGCAATTTCATTTTAGTAATTAGTTTTCGAGGAGGTACTTTTTATTCGGGCAACTGGGTCAGTGCATGTGCAACAGCAGGCTTAACCCACGTCACAATATTTTCGTGTTTTCCATTAAAAACAGAAGCAACATGAATAAAAAGCACCCATCATTTGTAAACGAAAATAATAATCATTACAGTCTCCAGGTAGTTCAGAAAGAATGCTATGACTTATTTTCATGTATACCACCTGTGGTACCCTACCCAGACTGTCGTGCTCCACCACCTTAGAGCTTCCGGGTGGAGCAACACCAAGGAGCGAGATGAAGGAAATATGCCCTAGAGGCAATAATAAAGTTATTATTTATTTCCTTATTTCATGATAAATGTTTATTATTCATGCTAGAATTGTATTAACCGGAAACATAATACATGTGTGAATACATAGACAAACATAGTGTCACTAGTATGCCTCTACTTGACTAGCTCGTTAATCAAAGATGGTTAAGTTTCCTAACCATAGACATGAGTTGTCATTTGATTAACGGGATCACATCATTAGGAGAATGATGTGATTAACTTGACCCATTCCGTTAGCTTAGCACTTGATCATTTAGTGTATTGCTCTTGCTTTCTTCATGACTTACACATGTTCATATAACTATGAGATTATGCAACTCCCGTTTACCGGAGGAACACTTTGTGTGCTACCAAACGTCACAACGTAACTGGGTGATTATAAAGGTGCTCTACAGGTGTCTCCGAAGGTACTTGTTGGGTTGGCGTATTTCGAGATTATGATTTGTCACTTCGATTGTCGGAGAGGTATCTCTGGGCCCACTCGGTAATGCACATCACTATAAGCCTTGGAAGCATTGTAACTAATGAGTTAATTACATGATGATGTATTACGGAACGAGTAAAGAGACTTGCCGGTAACGAGATTGAACTAGGTATTGAGATACCGATGATCGAATCTCGGGCAAATAACATATCGATGACAAAAGGAACAACGTATGTTGTTATGCGATTTGATCGATAAAAGATCTTCGTAGAATATGTGGGAGCCAATATGAGCATCCAGGTTCCGCTATTGGTTATTGACCGGAGACGTGTCTTGGTCATGTCTACATAGTTCTCGAACCCGTAGGGTCCGCACGCTTAAAGTTCGATGATGGTTATATTATGAGTTTATGTGTTTTGATGTACTGAAGGTAGTTCGGAGTCCCGGATGAGATCGGGGCCATGATGAGGAGTCTCGAAATGGTTGAGACGTAAAGATCGATATATTGGACGACTATATTCGGACATCGGAAAGGTTCCGAGTGATTCGTGTATTTATCAGAGTGACGGGGGGTTATCGGAAACCCCGGGGGGACTATTGGGCCTACATGGGCCATAGGGAAGAGGGAAGGCAGCCCACAAGGGACAGCTGCGCCCCCTCCGTATAGGGGGTCCGAATTGGACTAGGGAGGGCCCCCCCCCCTTTCCTTCTCCTTTCCCTCTCCTTCCTTCCTCCTTCCTTTTCCTAGTTGGACTAGGAAAGAGGGGAGTCCTACTCCTACTAGGAAGAGGAATCCTCCCCTCCTTGGTGCACCCCAAGGCTGGCCGGCCTCCCCGCCCTTGCTCCTTTATATACGGGGGCAGGGGGCACGTCTAGACACAACAATTGATCCCTTGGATCTCTTAGCCGTGTGCGGTGCCCCCCTCTACCATAATCCACCTCGATAATATCGTAGTGGTGCTTAGGCGAAGCCCTGCGTCGGTAGAACATCATCATCGTCACCATCCCGTCGTCCTGACGGAACTCTCCCTCAAAGCTTGGCTGGATCAGAGTTCGAGGGACGTTATCGAGCTGAACGTGTGCTGAACTCGGAGGTGCCGTGCGTTCGGTACTTGATCGGTCAGATCATGAAGACGTACGACTACATCAACCGCGTTGTGCTAACGCTTTCGCTTTCGGTCTACGAGGGTACGTGGACAAACTCTCCCCCCTCGTTACTATGCATCACCATGATCTTGCGTGTGCATAGGAATTTTTTAAAATTACTACGTTCCCCAACAGTGGTATCCGAGCCTGGTTTTATGCGTAGATGTTATATGCACGAGTAGAACACAAGTGAGTTATGGGTGATACAAGTCATACTGCTTACCAGCATGTCATACTTTGGTTCGGCGGTATTGTTGGATGAAGCGGCCCGGACCGACATTACGCGTACGCTTACGCGGGACTGGTTCTATCGACGTGCTTTGTACACAGGTGGCTGGCGGGTGTTAGTTTCTCCAAATTTAGTTGAACCGAGTGTGGCTACGCCCGGTCCTTGAGAAGGTTAAAACAGCACTAACTTGACGAACTATCATTGTGGTTTTGATGCGTAGGTAAGAACAGTTTTTGCTCAGCCTGTAGCAGCCACGTAAAACTTGCAACAACAAAGTAGAGGGCGTCTAACTTGTTTTTACAGGGCATGTTGTGATGTGATATGGTCAAGATGTGATGCTATATTTTATTGTATGAGATGATCATGTTTTGTAACCAAGTTATCGGCAACTGGCAAGAGCCATATGGTTCTTGCTGTATTGTATGCAATGCAATCGCCTTGTAATTGCTTTACTTTATCACTAAGCGGTAGCGATAGTCGTAGAAGCAATAGGTGGCGAAACGAGAATGATGCTACAATGGAGATCAAGGTGTCGCGCCGGTGACGGTGGTGATCATGACGGTGCTTCGGAGATGGAGATCACAAGCACAAGATGATGATGGACATATCATATCACTCATATTGATTGCATGTGATGTTTATCCTTTATGTATCTTATTTTGCTTTGACTGACGATAGCATTATAAGATGATCTCTCACTAAATTTCAAGGTATAAGTGTTCTCCTTGAGTATGCACCATTGCGAAAGTTCTTCGTGCTGAGACACCACGTGATGATCGGGTGTGATAGGCTCTACGTTCAAATACAACAGGTGCAGAACAGTTGCACACGCGGAATAC